GGGGTCCTCAGCAGCAGCAACAGCAACAGCAGCGTCCCTATGAACCTTAGGCCAACAACAGGGCCCAAGAAATTATCAAAATTCCGGACCCCATCGGGGTCCGTTTCAAGAACCCGGCGCTGGGCGAGGACAAGGACAAAATCGACGCCCCCCCAGATATGAGGACCGCCAGGGTAGGTCGAACGGGTTCGGACCAGGTGATTCTGGGCCATCTGTACGAGCTCAATAGCTCGTGCGATCCATTTTTTAACTTACTGGGGGGTGGGGCTGGGGTCCTGGGGGGAGAGGGCGAGGGGGTGTTTTCAGCAGTGTTGTGATATACAATTTCGAGTGCCAGAAATAGGAAGGGTTTTACGGGTAATATCGCGAACCAAATCACGATTCGACATGTGGAGGAATGTACATTACGATAAACGGATTGGGGAATGGTCTGTTGGAGTGCATGGCATGCAAGACAGACAGCGTTTGATCACTCGAACGATCGGGATTCTTTTCTTTTCTTCTCGATCGGGCTTTTGTAAAGTTCTCTATTTCTTTTGTTTCTTGTTTTTTTCCCCTTGTTCTTTCGCCTTTTACCATTTCCTCTCTTTTTCCTGGGGACGGTGGGAATGATATGATGCTGGGGTTGGGTTTTTGAGGCGCATGGATTTTGTATTCCGTTTTCTTTCTTTTTTTCTTTCTTATTGCTTGCATGGGTTTGCGGTGTAGTTTTTGTTTTCTCGGTCCGTTGTTTCCATTTGGCCCCGGATACATATCACACTGCTTGGGTTGTTTCTTTCTTTTGATAGTTGCTTTTTTGTTACGAACAAGATACTAGATGGGCTAGTATCTATGTGCGTACAGGGGAGGTGGTGGGCGGGAGTGGTAGTGAGGTGTGCCCGGAAGCGATGGGCAGCGATCGCCATCGCTGCGTGTCTGGTCCAGTCTCAGGTACCGGGATTCAATCTGCGAAGAAACTTGCGAAACAGGAGGTATACACCATGGGCTGGGCTGGGTATACTGGGGGGAAAACTATCGACCTTGCTACGAAACGAAAATCTTGGTCTGGATAGTGAATAGAGACAAATGCTGCTATCTGGGGCAAAATTCGAACGACTGCGGTTACAGGCATGGATGAGTCAGTGAAACGGGGGTAACCATCTTATTAATTCCTTTCCTGATGATGACAATTTTACAACAAAAACGATACTACCGTCTGTATCCACAATTTTCCTTTGGTGCGTTCTATCAGGTCACGGACTTGGTCCACACGCTGAAAATGAGGGGTACCAATGGGCGACCACCCGAATGGATACGTATTCGATAGCACCAACATTCGAGAAAAAACCGACGCGAAAAAAATAGAGACGAGACATGCGGAAAGAAAGACCTAAACAACATCCCTCAGAGCAAACGAAGGGGGGAAAAAATCGAATTCGAAAAGCGAGCAGACAGCCAATACGAAATGGGGTTGCGCACTTCATTCAAAAGCTCTTTACAGATTTTTCTTTTTTTCTTTTCTTTTCCTTTCTTTCTGTTGCAGCAGGACAAAATGAGATGGGATGTCTATTTTCGTTTTGAAGTACCATGTATTAGATATCCGCTATTGGCCAATTCCTGTATGGACCCCTTGGAAGGGATTTGGTATGATAGTAATGAACAATTTTCCGTCTCTAAAGATCTCTGGTTCAGCAATTGTGTTTTGATGTGTGTGTGCGGTGTAGTCGTTGAGTGATGAGTGATGGAGGTGTGTAGAATACAGTACTATAGTTATGCTAGTGTGTATTGCATTCGATCTACGGTAGCTAAATACACTAGCATAAACTCTTATTGCTGTATCCTGCTATCGTTATAGCGCCGAACTCTGGAACATTAATGCAGCGAGGTAGATTGGGCGATCATACCCTATCACTCCCTCCCTATTGACAGCGTTCTCCCCTACCGTACTACGATAAAGGCTTTTGTATGATGCCTCCATTTCGGCGGTTGTCTGACTAGTTGGCCGATAGCTCTGAGGCAGCATAGTGTCATGATACGTTCCTGCGCGGTTTAGTGTCGGACGTGTGATTAGTGCCTTTCTGAAGGGGCGAACAGTTTGTTGGTAATTCCAACACCTCCCACATCCTCCCTTTTTTTGACTGCCTGTCATTTGTAGTCTGGTGAATTGGCAATGTCCTCGAGCACAGTACGTGCGTGTATTGTGCCGATAAGACAGGTGCTATATTCCCTTTGGCGAGTGAGGTTTGCGCCTTCCTTGAGAGCTTTGGGTTACCCGGTGGGAATGGCAGTCTTTTGTCGTCACTCGCAGTCAGTGAGTGAGTGCAGTCTGGGGTGGTAAACATGAGGTGCATGCGCGGTATCGGTACCCGTGGCCGGGATTCCTTAATGATAGCGCTGTATGTGCATGTACAGTACAGTACACACTTCCGGGACTTTCTGCTATGATGCTGGTTTGGAGTTTGTGGGGGGGCATTTGTTTTCTCGCGCCGCTGCTGGACTACCGATAGTGAGGAGTTAAGTTAGTGATAATGTGATACAGGGTGTTGGTTGGGTGGGGTGGAGAAGAAGCGTGAATTACACCCGTCTCTCTACACATAAATTAGGCGCTCCGGGTACTGGGGGTGGAAATAAACACTGAAGCTGCCTCCCGTGATAAGAATGGGGAGGTGTGTTATCGGTTGTATCCTCCTTCCTTCCCTCCTTCCTTCCACCATAACATGGACATGGATGAGTAGCGACACCTGCACCGTATCATAGATACGGAGTTGCATACTCGGGGGTTTCCTAGGGCATTTTTCCGGAGAAGATTACTTTTTTGCCCCAACCTCAGGCATGCAAATTTTGCTTCGATTCACGATATATCACTCGAGTGGTTGGCGTAAGGTGCTGTAGTCGGGTTAGGGGTGATAGATGAGGAACCAAAACAGAAGAAAAGACTCGTGGGGGAACAAGAACTGTTGGGTGGGTAGAAGAAGAGATTGGTGGCGGAAAGTGATGTTTTTCCTGTGTGTTCTTGTGTACCTGTGACCGTAGTACTTGTTATATAAACCCATGGGAGCTATCTATGTTTAGGGGTCGGAGTCCCAATATTTCGTGCTCAACATAGCTCTATTACACTGAAGCAGTTGTTTCCAACGGGTGCTCTGATGCGCCCGGAAGTTGTGGTTTGTATTATACTCGTAGCTGTGTGGAGGCTATGATACCGAGGCGTAGGAGGAATGCTCTATCCTGGGGTGCCGCGTGGGGTAAGAAGGGGGGTCGGAGAGGGCGTATAGTGGGTGAAATGCATTGGAAGAAAGGGATAGTGGGGCTCTGGGAGGGTATACTCGAGTACATTCTCTGCCCGGTTTTGCAAAGTGTTCATCCACCTGGAGGGGTAGGATAAGGTATTCACAGCCGTAGCAATAGCTAGAGCCGCACACTAGCTGGCGCTTCCTCTCGGATGCAAAAGTTTACTCGCAACCACTGACGACGAGCATTCCTCATCTCGCTGCGTCTTAATGCCCTGAAGCGCGTATATATATACGTGGTGGGTTGGTTGAATACTGCTGCTAGAGAATTAGCACTGCTGGAACCCTCGCGGCTACGGTGCTCTTGGGGCCGGAAGGCGTAGACAGATTTCGGAGCACTCGGGAGCCTCACCGTGTGGAGGTCGTTTCACACAGTACAGAGTTCTGGCCATTGTTTGCAACTTGTTTTATATGGAGTTTTGTGACTTTGATCCCTGATTATATTATAATAATATGTATTCAACATCCCCTTTACATTCACATCCCCCGCAACATGCGTTAAAGAGTAAGCCATGGCGGTTCTACGCTCACCTACCCGTCTACACTGCTTCAATCACCGAACAGATGCATGGATATAAGTAGATAGCCTATAGTTATAACGCCCTCCTAGTTAAGTTAGCAGGTGGCCCCATCGGAGAGCTTTTGCCATTAATATCGGATAATGAGGACGGAGATGTTTATCAATTTGTTTGAACGCTCGTTTATCAGCGTATAGTGTCTATGCCTGCTTGTTAGGGACGCAGGGCCAGAGGGCTCGGGACGCGATAGGGTTGAAATTTATCTGCTCATGGAAAATCACTCGAAGCCGGATGTTTCCGGATACGGGGGTGGGGCACATTTTTTGCGGGGATTTTCCTGGAAGTTGCTTGCTGGTATCGCATTAGGGTTCTGGAGAGCCTGTGGACCAAAGTGTTGGAGAGTCGAGGTCGTTTGTTATTCGCTGTGGGATTGTTAAAGTGTCTTTAGAATTAATATTGCGGAGTGTGAATAATGGTTTGATCTGCCTTGTAGAATGGGAGATTGTGGATTGGGAGCCTCAGATGGACCCAGCGCACGTGTGGAGCGACTAGAGGATTCTATTCCCTGCCTGTCGGACCTGCCTCCAAACTACAATGGGGTCAACGCATCCGCTGAGTGGGGAGGAAATTGGCTATATTCCCGATTTTAGAGGAGTTTCTCCTAGTATGATATCTAGGCGGCGCTTAGGGGACAGCCTAAGATGCTAATATATATTATTGCGCTTAGTCACGCAATAACTTAGACATAAGGAATATAGCATCAAAAGTTTGCTACTGAAACCTAGGGCCAACGATACAATAGTGCCTAATGGCAAGGTGTTTCTCTAGAAAATAATATCTTAAAAGTCGGTCGAGACATTTGAGAATTCTCCTTTCTCCAACTTCGTTTTCCAGAATACAGGGTTGGTGTCCGTGAAGCCATGCCTTGTCCATCCCTCCTCCTTGACGTGGTAGAGGTTTATTGAACCACCGGAGTATGCATCCTGTCATCCCATAAGCTGCCATTTTCCACTAAACATCCTAGGAGGGCACTTACTCTGTGGGTGGCTGCCAGGATACTCCTCGAGCCCAACGCCAATGCTTCTTCGGTGCTAAGGTCGTAGTCGTATTCCCTGTCTAGCACACCATAGGCAAATGTTTGACCACTGCCAACGCAGAAGAGATTCCCGGCAAGCCGAGTTCCATCCGAGTCAATATAATAGAGCGCCGGACCTTCGAGGGCGGTGACACCAGCGATCATAGTTCCCATGGATAGGCCCATTCCCTTGTAGGTGTAGACAAGATTGGACAGGATTTTGGATGCCGCGGCGACGGAGATACGGCGCTTGTGGCGGAGCTCGTGAAGTCTGCATTCCACGCCGAGATAGCCAAGCCAGTATTGACAGTCTGCCGCTCCTCCGGCCATGGTTCCGAGCATTTTATCACTGGTAGAGTTAGCTCTGAGGACACTCTTCTCATCGAGATAGAAAGTAGTAGGGAAAGATTAGATAGTAATACTTAATCTCAATAACCTTCTTCACGGTCTGCGAAGATATCCAGCTTCCCTGGGTCGCACGGGAATCTGTAGCTACGATGATCCCGCCCTGAAATCTGAAGGCAAGGGTAGTAGTCCCATGGGCGAGCTTAATCGGACAGTCGGGGTTGGAATAATCATCCGTCAGAGCACGCAGAAAACCTGTGGGCTGTCATCAGTTGATAGATGCTCCCAAAATCTCCAATGACAGCTCAGACACCGGAAATATATACCTGGGCGATGGGAGGTAGAGAGAAGTTATGTTTGAGCGATGGCTTTGTAGTGGTAAGTTTCGGGACCTCTTCGTCCTCGGGATAGAACTCGTCGTCATGAGGGGAGGTGTACTTGGCAAGGATATCGTCCATGATGAAGGATTAGGGGAAGCTGCAGAAGCTGATGAGAGGTATTGGAGGGGCGATGGAGGTTGGCTAGAGGATGGATATGTTGATGGTTGACAGGGATGGAAGACAGTGGAGAGAGGTGGAGGATGGAAGTTAACTCCAGTATGATACGGTATCACTCATGGCGGAATGTGTCTTAGGTCACGCATTGGGGAAGCACCCAGTGTTTGAGCCTCACTCCGACACTCACCTTAAAACAAATTGGGCAGCGCAAAACCCTGATGCAATTAGATAGTATTGAATTTAAAAAGGTAAATACTATGTACGAGTAGTTTAGAGTCCCAATGGAAGATTTCTGCGTGACATTACTTAGCATAGAAGTCATGTGATAACTGTATTTAATCTGGCATTTGCGTGACGATTTGTGACTTCAGCCTGTCACACCTCCGCACTTCATTATCGTTGAAAATCTTCCCCACCATTCCAGATATCCACTCCAATCATCCACAGCTCCACTAATACTCAACACTATCACGACGATAGCCACAAAAGCTTCATACAAAATGCCAGATATCGCATCTTCGTAAGTTGCCAATCCTAGCAGCAAGGGATCCATTATCATTTTCCTCGCTAACGAAGAGTAGGAGAGCAAACTGGGCTGACGACGAGGAATTCGATGACCCATCCGTCCTCCCCCCCCAACAAGTTATTAACAACCCCGACGGCACAAAAACAGTCGTGACTTACCGCTTCAACGATAATGGCAAGAAAGTCAAGACCACCCGTAAGATTCGCACCACCATCGTCAAGGAACACGTCAATCCCCGTGTTGCTGAGAGAAAAGAGTGGGCAAAATTCGGAGCTGAAAAGGGGCACAGTCGTGGTCCGGATCTTTCCACCACCTCTGTTGGAGAAAATATCATTTTCCGCCCATCAACTAACTGGAAATCTACCTCTAAGGAGGACAACACCGAGGAGAACAAGTTGAAGGATCAGCTTAAGGATAAGAAGGTTGCTTGTCGTATCTGTAGGGGAGACCATTTCACGGCTAGGTGCCCATTCAAAGATACTTTGCCACCTCTCGACGATGCCGCAGCTCCTGCTGCCGAGGAAAGCCCTGCCGCAGATGGTCCTGGCGCTATTGGTGGTAGCGGTGGTGGGTCCTATGTTGCACCTCATCTACGTGGAAAGAAGGGTGCTGGAGAGTCTATGTCTGGAACTGGTGGCTCTTACAAGGACAGAGACGATCTTGCCACTCTCAGAGTCACCAATGTCTCTGAATTCGCCGAGGAGAGCGATTTGAGAGAGATGTTCGAGAGGTTCGGAAGGGTTACCAGAGTTTTCTTGGCTAAGGACAGGGACACTGGTAGGGCAAAGGGATTTGCCTTCATCAGCTATGTCGACCGATCTGATGCTGCAAAGGCATGTGAAAGGATGGACGGGTGTAAGTCTCTTCTCCCTCATAGTAGCCTCACCGCAGTACTAATTGTTGGATAGTTGGCTATGGGCATTTGATCTTGAGGGTAGAGTTTGCGAAGAGGTCTTGAAAAACAAAATTGGGGGCTTTGTTTTATTTTATTTTTTCACTTTTTTGTAACCTGGTCATTTCAATAAAAAGTCCGCTGTAAATTTTCTAATGGCCATCTTAATTTCTGATTTTGATAGACTCCCGCGATGTTGTTGGATTTTCGTCAAGGACTTGATAGTTTCCTATTGGTGTGGTTAGGGCACATTGTCATGTAATTGAGTCTCCTTTACCGTTAATTTTGTCGATCAACCCAAGTCACTCTAAGGTACCAGCTTCCTCAACAGGGAGAACTATTTAACATACTCTTATCACCGTGCACTAGACTCCCAATACAACAAATGTCTCGGGTATTCGGGTATGAGACTTCTCTTTCTCATACCGAGTATTTCCTTTTAGAAAAGGGTACAAGTACCTCTAGCAAATGTAATACCCCCCCCGGACAAAGCATCGGTCCCGGTTCACAAGGGGTCTCTTCTCTGTTCTGGTCTTATACCAGGGGCCCGCCAAAACCCCCATCTGAAGTATGATATTTTGTGCGGTTGGAGTTGTGTACGAGTAGGGCCCTTCCCATGAAATCTTTCAGGAGTTTCCGTAGCGCAGCCGGCAATAGGGTACAGCAGCCGGCAGCGATTTGGACTTTTGGGAAATGTGGTAACCAACTAGATTGTGGTTATGAGCACTTCAAGGGGAGAAACGGCTTGGTTCACCCGGACGGGGAAAAGGGAATCTTGAAGAGTATAGTATAAGTTACATACTGCCTTCCCATGTCAGAATACTTATGCAGGGAATCGCCGTATCCCAAAAATTTCCTACTTGGTCCCAGATGGTATCATAGCTAAAACCGTTATATCTATTTCCCGACTTTAGGGATACCGGTATGATAGTAATCCACGGCTCAAGGCCGGTTGCAATCACTCGGCAAGCCTTCGTGAAACGGTGTTTCCCTTTGGTGGATATTACGGTGGTCTAAGGAGGGGGTTGCCTGTTCTATTGGAGGGAGAAATCTTGCTTCTCCAGTAGGAAGACTGGTTGAGTGGCTGTAGACTATATACCCAGTTTCGATGGAGGTTTTAAGACCGAAGTCTCCAAATTTCGGGCGGCGGGTGGTTCAATTAACTTTACTTTTCGAGTGGACCTGGGTAACCGTGGTAGCTTACTGTAAGAGTGAGGAAAAAGGAGGAAAAAGGAAGAACGCTCGAGTCACGTATCTACCGTTACTGTTATACGAGTGCTACTCTATGAAACTGGTATTGTTCAACTACGGTTCTGGAAGACTAAAGGCAAATGAAAATTAGCTTTCATATAAAAAAGGGACAATTGAGGATGAAGCAGCAACTGTGATGCTTTCTACTTATCACTAACTTCCTTGGTTGAAGGCAATATCTCTTTTCAAAAAATTAAAAATATAATTTTTAATACTAGATAAGTATATTAGGTGATTTGTGTTAAACTTAAAAAGTATGATATAACCTTCATACTCTGTCTCTGTTACAACCGGAGTGCTTGAAATTTATTTCCTAATTGGGAATAACTTAACACTAAGTATAGGCTTTTTCCTAGCTGCGCCGGTTACTAGCAACACTACCGAATTTTCCATCTATTGCACTTCAACCCCGTGACTACTCATTACATCAAGAATACACAACCTGACCAGTTCCTCCATAAAAAATATGGCTCAATCGAAACTTGGAGATGCCTTGCAGATTATTCTGAGCTCTTGAAATACTCTATTATCCTAGAAGGTAGCAAAGGCCACTGGTGTCTCATACCGAAGCCTCAAGCATCACCTCTTGGGTAATCAGACAGCTGCTGAGTGCAATAGTAATGCTCAGCTGCTTGCCTCTGTGCAGGAGAGTGTTCTTGAGGCCTATATCATCTATTTAGCACAGAATTAAAATATTCCTATAGGGCTTCAAGTCTGTGAATTGGCTCTCAATATCCGTCAAGTTGCAGACTCTATGACTCCCCTCGCATCCTCAACTTGGCTTACTGCCATTATTCACCACTCAAAATTTCTGGAATGAAAGATACATGGAAAACTTGATTTTCCTTGTATTTGGGAGTCTGGGGAAAGGCTTATTGGCCTTTTCTTTGAATTGCTTGCCTACTATGAGGAGACTTTCCATGTTACACTTAATAATGTATAGAATCTGGATAAGGCAGGATTCAAATGTAGAGAATCCAGGGCCGGTGACTTTGGAGTTGCACCTCTTTGGACTGCTCATACTGTCTCTCAGAATTCTTCAGAGTTGGTAACAGTTCTGAAGGCAATTTCTGCAACTGGTAAAATTAGTGTACCTCTCTTCATTTATAAGGGAATTCACCTTATAGAAGCCTGGTTTCCAACTCAAAAAAGGATAAATTGATCATATTGACCTCCAAGACAGACTTTAATGATGGCAACATCTTCTATGAATGTTTTCACAATTACTTTTTGTCTGCTCCAGATAACAACTGGTCAACCCTTCTTCTTGATGATTACTCCTTACATACATCTGAGAAATTTGTGCAAGAAGCCTTAAAGCAAAATGTTATTTCTCTATTTTATCCTTACCATATGGCCAATATTCTTTAATCTCTTGATCGCTCCTAGTTTGATATTGCAAAACAGTATTTTCATGCTGAGAATACACGGATGTAATGAGACTCTACAGAGTACTATTACAGTTGACCAAACCTATACCTATACCGGTATCAAGAGACTACCGTGGTAGGAATGGTGGTAGACTAGACTCTATTGGCTAGAGGTACTGTTGGTTAGGTACCTCAGTTGGGCATACTATACCATACTAAGAAGTATACGGGTACTAGTAAGGGGCAGTAGTTACCCTACTCAGTAGGGTAACCTCAGTAGTCAATTTGGGAGTTACCCTGAATTACTCAACGGTGAGTCCGGGTAGAGTTACCCTACCTTTGGACTAAAGTTACCCTGCCTTGCGCTATGGGTTACCCTGTTATGGAGTCAAGTTACACTACCTTGAAAGTAACTTATTACGCAGGACTTTGGAGGAAGTTACTAGATTGTTTGTCACACAAAACTACATAGGGTGTTTGAATATCAGGTTGTGCAGATCACTCCCGCACAACCAGTTGAGCTCTGAACAAGGTGTAACTTGGAGGTATGGTGGCTAACACCACCCTCCGGCCCCGTTATAAGTCCTTGGTGTCATAGGCTACAGCCTGGAGAGTTGCTGTAAGCCTAGTAAATATCTTCAGGTGGAGATGCTCTTGTAACACCGTATACGTTCCAGCCATCCATCTGACCAGAACCAGTCCGCAGGATATATGAGGGGGTAGAGGTGAACTTGGAGAATAGTCTCCAGGTGGTTTCGTATAAAACGGATCAGAACTGATGGAGTAATACTACTTTGAAGTGTAAGGTAGTATGTGAGGTTACTGAAGGCTAGTAGGTGAGGTAACCGAAGTCTATTGCCCCGAAGGTGTAATAGTATTGGAGAATCGTTAGGGACTCTGAGACACTAGTCTAAGGTCATGATAAGACCTGTTTCTAGGAGGGTTGACTGTGGGTAGTGCCTATTGGTAGTCAACATCCGAAGGGGTCTATCAGAGGAGCTACGTGGCCATCATCCGGAATGATATAAAATAGAGTAGAATCGGATAGATGTTCAGGGGCTGCGGATGCTTGTAGAAGACTAAGTATATATAGGTAGAGAGTTCTATAATTGGTATTGCATCTACTCGGGCATGACAGCTCGCCACTGATTTGTCCGCAATATGAAGAGTTTTTACTCCTGTGGTTGCATTGTAGATGTAGTGGCTAAAATACTTCGATTGAGCGGATGTTAGAAAACTACAAGAGTAGTATAGTTTGCTATAGGGGATCTTTGGTCCAACCTGTGGAGGTTAGTTAGGCACCCCAAGGGAGTTAGGTGCTCGCGAATACAGAGTAGTGATGGGGAGCAACTGACAGTATATGAAATCTACTTAAGTATATGCGAGTTCTCCTCTACTCTGGCAATGAAATACCTCTTGAGATCAGGACTTAATTGAGCAAAAGCTGTGGCTTAACGATATTTAGTTTTACTGTTTTGTTTCTTCAAACTCTACTGTTGAGACCTTTGATATTTATTAAATTTGTTCACTTTGCGGAATAATTCATTTCGGTGCGGTCGTGACCTTGGGATCCATCTTTCCAGAGGGAGCCCCTGTTACAATGGACATTTTCTGAAGGATTTGAACCTTCAAAGAGGTCATGTTTTGAAACATACCACTCCAACTGGTTAAGAGCCTTTTCAGAATACATCATCAAAGATAGCTGGAAGTGGGACAGTATCTACCCTCGAAACAAGCGGTTGCTATAAGGCAATTTCATTGACAAATAAACTTGCTCCTTGATAGCTTTTTTGTGCTAGAGCTGCTAGTTGTACAGGATCATTTGAGGGCAGAGCAAGTTGTGGATGAGAATATCACTACTCCAGTAATTGCTAATATATCTTGGAGAGCTGCTCGAGTATCTCTGTTATCCGGAAATACTCAAATTGCTATTACTATCTACAAGTGATACTATAATCAGTCTAAAGATGTAGAGGTATGACTAGCTATTCTGGATACTCAGCTTCAGTCCACCCATAACAAATTGGCTGAACTTCAGAAAAAGCAGTCTAAGAAGCAGACTCACCTTTCTAGAAATAATAAGAAAGTTCTCCATTTCCTTCCTGATGTGCAGAATCATGAGCGCCATTCTCTAGTAGACCTTCCTGAAGATGAAGGGGACTATGAGAGTGTATGAGGCCCCATTTCCTTTTTTTCTATTCTGATAGAATTTTGGCTTTTCTACAAATTATTATTTCTTTACTTTACTTTTTATAAAATTGAGTCAGTTGGCGAAGAGAAAATTGAATTTTTAAGACTGTGCAGACCTAACAGTATGGTGGAAAATCAGGTAGCATTGCTAGTAACCAGCACAGCTAGTAAAAAGCCCATACTACTATCCCTACTTTTCCTACCTACTCTTCCCTGTAGAGGGGGGAAGTAGGCTCTGAATTTCCATTCTTCTTCCACCTTGGAGGACTGCCTCTGCCTTTATCCTTTAGTGTTTTCATCTCTAGGCTTTTTCTCTTCCTTTCTCAGTATCTCCTACTACTGG